AGGGAACCACCAGAAGGCCCTTGGCGCTGGACCTCAGTGTCCGGGCAGAACAATGGGGGTGGAGACGCTCCTTCAGGTATACTGAACCGAGGCCGTTTAGGGCTTTAAAGGTCAGCACCAACACTTTGAATTGTGCTCGGAAACGTACTGGGAGCCAGTTTACAGAGGAAGTCCATCTTTCAGGGTGCTTAGGATAAATAATGGGGAGGCACCTGTTGCTTTCATGCCCTGTCTTGTGGGCTTTTGGGAGCCATCTGACTTGCTGTCATTTGCTAACTTGCTGCTGGGCTCAGTTTGTTTTCCAATTTATTACTGCATTAATAAATACTGTAATGGAAGGGAAGGCTCAGGACAGACAAAATTTATAGCATTTCTGCAAAACGTCCGTTCAAACAATGGAATCCATTCCTACAAGAGGCAGTGAGGGCCACCAGTTGGGATGGCTTTGTCAGAGAGGATTAGACAAGTTCATGGAAAAGGCTCTCAGTGACTACTAGCCACAATGACTATGTTCTGCCTCTATCCTCTGGTCAGCACTATATGTTTCTGGACAGTGCTAGAAACTCAGCTATATAAGCTACATGCCAAATGGCTCCTTAAACCAGAATTAGTTGCCAAAACAGAATACCTAGCTGCCATTTTGGGGCCAGACAGCTCTAAAATTGTTTTTCAGTGCAACTGTTTGGTCCCTGAAATTCATTCTGATTGTGCAGATAAAATATACCGGATAGAAATCTACAGGATGTTTTGCTGGTGTGTGAAAATAGTCAAGAGCCAAGGATCCCCAGGCGTGCACCTCCAGATGGTGGAGACGACAGGTGTCATCATCCTGGCTCCTGGGCATCTTCCCTTGCCCGCAAGTGGCTGATAGCCAGGTGCAAAATGCGCCTGGCGCCTGGCTAAGTTTGAACACTGCTTCTGGATACCAGTTTCTTGGGATTGCTAATGGGGAGAGCAACGTTGCGAACAGGTCCTGATTCTGGGCTTCCCATTGGGGCATCTGGGTGGCCACTGTGACAACAGGATGTTGAACAAGATAGGCGTTTGGCCTGATTCAGCAGGGGGCTCTTTATGTTTTCTGCCTAACTGGAAACTTTTGTATGCAGTAAACCAGGTGTGGTGAACATGTGGATCTTGTGTTTATTATTTATTTTAGACCATCCTTTCTCAACCTTGGGTCCCCAGGTGCTGTTGGACTACAACTCCCATCATCCATAGCTACCAGGACCAGTGAACAGGAATGATGGGAGCTGTAGTCCAACAGCATCTGGGAACCCAAGGTTGAGAAAGGCTGATCTAGACCTTTTGCACCCTGCTCTTCAGCCAAAAAGGCTCCTAGAGGGGCCTAGGTAAAGGTAAAGGTACCCCTGCCCGTACGGGCCAGTCTTGACAGACTCTAGGGTTGTGCGCCCATGTCATTCAAGAGGCCGGGGGCCAGCGCTGTCCGCAGACACTTCCGGGTCACGTGGCCAGCGTGACAAGCTGCATCTGGCGAGCCAGCGCAGTACACGGAACGCCGTTTACCTTCCCGCTAGTAAGCGGTCCCTATTTATCTACTTGCACCCGAGGGTGCTTTCGAACTGCTAGGTTGGCAGGCGCTGGGACCGAGTGACGGGAGCGCACCCCGCCGCGGGGATTCGAACCGCCGACCTTTCGATCGGCAAGTCCTAGGCGCTGAGGCTTTAACCCACAGCGCCACCCACGTCCCTAGAGGGGCCTACACACCATCAAAACAGTCTCTGTCCACAGGCTTACAATCTTTTTTTTAAACAACCATGACACACAAGGGGAAAAGGACAGGGAGGGAAAAGTGGGGAAATCAGACTTGTGCACCAATTATTAAACTGTTGCTGAACTACAGCTTCTATCACCCCTCTCCATAGTTAAAATTCAGCAACATATGGAGATCCAAATGTTCCCCAGACCTGCAATAAATGATTGGGGGGGGGGAGCCAGGAACAAGAGCAAAGAGGGGTCTCAAAAGCTTCACCTGCCAGCCAGTGACTGGGGGGGGGGTCATCTGGCTGTCAGTCCCCTTCTCTCCCTCTTGGCTTTTCCGTATAATTTTCACATGACCCTCTCTTGGCCTCCTTTGGCAGCAGGCGTAGCTGCTAAGAAGCTCTATAAAAAGCCCGCAGAGAAAAAGCTTAGCCACCGATAGCATCTTTGTTCCTTTTCTAAAATTGTATAACTGGGGCACAGCGACGGCAACATTGGAGGGAGTAGACCATTTTATACTCTGCCTTCATGTTACCTGCTTTTTTTGAAGGTGCTCCTGTGTCTGCCCAGGACCCCATACCATGGCCTGGCATCCACTGGATGGCAGCACGCAGTAATCACTGGATTAAATGGAGTGGCCAGGGGATCAGGCCACTCCTGTCACGCACACAAGGTTTTAATTGTTCTTCTTGGCAGCCCAAGAATTGGATTTTTTTGCTGCCGCTTAGCCAAAGTTCTAGTCTCTTTGTTGTAAAGGTAAAAATGTAAAGGTACCCCTGCCCGTACGGGCCAGTCTTGACAGACTCTAGGGTTGCGCGCCCATCTCGCTTAAGAGGGCGGGGGCCAGCGCTGTCTGGAGACACTTCCGGGTCACGTGGCCAGTGTGACGAAGCTGCTCTAGCGAGCCTGCACCAGCGCAGCACACGGAAACGCCGTTTACCTTCCCGCTATAAAGCGGTACCTATTTATCTACTTGCACTTAAGGGTGCTTTCGAACTGCTAGGTGGGCAGGAGCTGGGACCCAACGGCGGGAGCTCACCCCGCCACGGGGATTCGAACCACCGACCATATGATCGGCAAGTCCTAGGCACTGAGGTTTTAGCCACAGCGCCACCCGCGTCCCCACTGTGCGTTGCATTGGCCGGGAAACGAACCCGGGCCTCCCGCGTGGTAGGCGAGAATTCTGATTTTGGAATTGGATTTTTTTGCTGCCGCTTAGCCAAAGTTCTAGTCTCTTTGTTGTACAGAGATGCTTTAGAACACGCAAGCCATGCATGCAAGCCATGTTATTTCAGTAACCAGCGTTCATTCCTAGGTGGGCATGTTTTCTGTGGGTGTTTGTTTTGTTTTGTTTGTTGCACCTAGTCCCTCCTTCCTTCAACCAGATGTGTGCCCATCAGTTGCTTGCTGTAGGGTATTTGCAAGGTAGTGGGGTGCATGTTGACCACCGACCTTTGTGTTTTTGAGGTGCTCCGTTTTTAAAATCTTGAGTCTCTCGGAACACATTCAGGCTGGTTGCAGTGAACTGTCTCTCCCTCTCCTCATCTCCCCATGCTGATCCTCTTTTAGGTTCCATGGACATGTGAACAGCACAGGGCTTGTGTACTATAAGGGGGAGGAATGCAACCTGATTGCGTTGGCCGTGGCTGTATTTGCAGAGCTTGAAAGCCAATGTCAAACCTCTGGTTCTGTACACAGAGCAGAGAGAAGCTCAGATAACAGCTAGTCTTCAAAGGCCCCTGCTGTCTGTCATTCAGTGGACTCTGCTCTCCCTCTCTCTCACACAGACCTGGTGCCCAGGTTACAGGTGTGACACAGCAGCCAGGGATTGGAGCCTTCAGCTCTCCAGATGTTTCACTACGAGTCCCATTATCCTTCACCATTGGCCATGCTGTCTGTGAATGATGTACGCTGTAGTCCACCTTTGCTGAACTACAACTCCCATCAGCCCCAGCAAACATGACCAATGGCCAGGGATGGTGGGAGTTGTAGGCAAGACCAAAGGTTTCCCACACCTGCTTTAGATGCAGGCCTTGCCCTCTCCATGCTTTTTGGAGGTAACCAAATCAGGTTGTTGATTTGCTCAAAATGGGGCCTATTTGGGGCCTTGGCTCCAGGGAACATGCAAGAAGTTCCTTTTGGTGCACAAAGGGCAAAATGTTCTGCCCCTCTCCTGTCATTATCCAAAGCGCAGGTGGTGACCTGACCTGCATGGCTCCTGTCTTGTTTATCTGGGAAGTGGTCCCTTTGATTGTGGAGCGATTTCTGAAGCTGCTTTGCCAGTGGTGGTTAGGTGCCATGGCCTACAGACTGGCAGTCAGCTCAGAGCAGAGTCACAGGAGCAAGAAAAGCAAGTGATGCTCTAGTTTGGGAATGGGGAACCTGTTGAACTCCAGCTCCCAGCAGCCCCAGCCAACACAGTCAACAATCAGGGATGATGGGAGCTGCAGTCCATCAACATCTGGAGAGCCACAGGGTCCCCACTTGTGGCATAGACAGCACTGAGCTGGATGGACCAATGGTCTGGCTTGGTATACAAGGCAGCTTCCTAGGGTAAGTGGCTGTGATTTGTATTCAGTTGTATAAAGTGCAACTAAATAAATTCTTGCTCTTATCTCTTAAAGAGTTAGTTTAGAAGGGACAGTTTCTTTTTTTCTGTGTCAAGGCCATGGATAAGCAGCTTTTGTTTGATAGCGTCAGCATCAAAGGCTTATTATATGTATGTGTTTTTTTAAAATCTGGGTTTTCAAAAGTTCAGGGGACCTTTCTTCCCCACCCCTCACCAAGAGCGCATCCTCAAATCTGTTGTGGAACCTCTTCTGCATTGCCAAGGATTCTGGAGGCACATTATTATTTATTTAACTGAATCTGTATACCACTTAATCGTAAAAACCTCTAACTGGTTTCTATAAAATTGAAAATTGGCAGTGTAATTATTTCATGGGTGTCGGAAGTTAAAAATAAGTTGGCCTACAAAAAAAAATCAGTATATAAAATGAATTGACAGTTGATAATACGCATTTAGAAAATAAAACTGTATTAAACTTTAGGTGTCTGGATAGGCTAAACAAAAATGGTTCTTAGGAGGTGCAAAAAAGTGTACAGTGAAAGTGCCTACCTAACAGGCAGGGCGTTCCACAGAGTAGTTGCTGCCACGCTGCAAGACTGACCGTTAATGCGGCACATGTAAGCATGCCAGTGTGGTGGATCACATGCTCAGGACTGAGGTCTGTGTGGTTTCTTCCCTTTCATCTGACGTCTTCTACGTTGTTTTTTTCCAGGTGTGGTGGGACAGTGGGCGCCATCTTCACCTGTCCGCTGGAAGTCATCAAGACGAGGCTCCAGTCTTCGAAACTGGCCTTCCGCACAGTCTACTACCCGCAAGTCCAGCTGGGCACGATCAGTGGCGAAGGAGTGGTCCGTCAGACGTCTGTCTCCCCGGGCCTCATCCGGGTCCTGAAGTGAGTATAACGGGCTTGGCCATCTAGCAATATTAAGCAGCTCCACACGGTGCTAAATGGGGTCCTCCTCCTTTCACTGCGTCCTTGCTCTCTGTTCTTAACCCCGGACTGTCCAGATATGTTTTGCTTCATCTTCTCTCCCCTCTCCCCGCCCCCAAAACTGCAGATCTATTTTGGAAAAGGAGGGACCACGGTCGTTGTTTCGTGGGCTGGGGCCCAACCTGGTTGGAGTTGCGCCGTCAAGGTACGAATCTATTTATTGCATTCCTATCCTGCCATCTTTCCTGCAAGGAGCTCAAAGTGGCGCATATACTTCTCCTTTTTTTTATCCTCACAACAACAACCCTGTGAGGTAGGCTGAGTGAGTGACTGGCCCAAGGGAGCTTCATGGCTAAGTAGGGATTTGAACCCTGCTCTCCCAGGTCCTAGTCTGGCACTCAAGCCATACTGGTTCTCATCTTGCTTTAGCCTTTAATGTACTTGGCTTATAACTCTGGTTATATAACTCACCAGAGACTTACCTGGTAGCGGCAACAGGCAACTGCTTCCATTTCCCACAGTCCTTCATAGCATAGAAGTCAGCTTCTCAACAGTCCTGCTAGCAGGTAAATCTACTGCTGAGGATTCTGGGACAGGTGTTGGTGTTGGCTAACCCTGGCAGGGCACAGAGGGCACCTGCCCAAGGTTGCCGGGAGCCAAAACCAGGTCCTTTAAAAATATGCAGTGGATTATTTCACTTGCTTGATAGAGATGTGTATTCTGCTCAGTCTTTGTGGGAGGGCGTGTGTGTGTGTGTGTGTGTATGTGTGTGTGTGTGTGTGTGTTGGAAACCGTATTCAAGACAGAGACGTAACCAACATTCACGCTGCTCAGAGAAGACCCACTGAAATTAAGGAAAATGACAAAGTTAGGTCTGTAAATTCTAAGGGGTCTACTGTGAGTAGGGTTAATGTCGGGTTCAACCTCTAAAGTGGTATATGTGCACAGCAGAGGGAATCTTGGAGAGGTTCTGTGCATATTGAAGGCATAAATTTGGAAAAACCTTCTGAGTCCATGCCCTTTCCCAGGGTTTTATATTTATTTTCTTAGATGTATATCCTGCCTTCATTCCATCATGGAACCCCACCATTTGTGGGGTTCCCAGGCACAAACCAGACCCAGACCAGTGGTTAACACGTCTCCAGATCGTGTTGATCCTAGATATGAAATTCAGTACAGTGGTACCTCGGGTTAAGAACTTAATTCGTTCCGGAGGTCTGTCCCTAACCTGAAACTATTCTTAACCTGAGTTACCGTTTTAGCTAATGGGGCCTCCTGCTGCCGTCGTGCCGCTGCTGCGTGATTTCTGTTCTCATCCTGAAGCAAAGTTCTTAACCCGAGGTACTATTTCTGGGTTAGTGGAATCTGTAACCTGAAGTGTCTGTAACCCGAGGTACCACTGTATCTGCATAGTCTCAGCTCTCTTCCTTTTTAAAAAAATAAAAGCAAGGTTTCTAGTCCTCAAGGTTGCCAAGATAGGCTTGAAAGTGTCCATGGAATGTGTGGTTAACATCTCAGCCGGAAGGGAGTCCTGAAAAGGATTATCAGTAGTCAGGGTTGGCTGGGGTACTGCTTTAGAATCCTTCACAGCTCCTGAAGCAGGCTAGATTTTGCATAATATGTGTGCATTTGCAGTGGCTTCTCAGTGTCTTAAAAACGACTTCCCAGTTTCTCATTTTTCTCCTCCTTGTACATGCCCCACTCTGGCAACATCTTGTTGTCTTCCAGCTCGCTGGACAAGCTTGCACACTCTTTTATTCTCCAGTCTAGGGTAATGATTTAATTGGGAAAGGGAATTTCTCCCCTTCTCCTGCAAAGGCCGACGGCTTAGCCCTGGCCAAAGGAGCCTTTCTCCTTGACAACAATACTGAGATCCCAGCTGAAAGATACATTTGTAGGTTTTGTTTCATTTTTTTAAAAAAGCCTTTCCGACGAGAATAGCAGCCTTGTTCTAAAGCTGGAGCGCTTTGCTAATGGCTCTGGCTCTGGGATCCTTCTTTGGGGCCAGAACTGGGGAGAAAGGATAGGAGAGGTGGCTGTCCCTCCGCAGAAATAAAACGCTGACCTTCTGTTTGCTTGCAAGGCCCTAAGGCACTATTGATATCCAGTCACTATTTATCTAGGCCTAAACTACCTCTGGGATACGGGTGGCGCTGTGGTCTAAACCATAGAGCCTAGGGCTTGCCGATCAGAAGGTCGGCGGTTCGAATCCCTGTGACTGGGTGAGCTCCCATTGCTCAGTCCCTGCTCCTGCCAACCTTGCAGTTAGAAAGCACGTCAAGGTGCAAGTAGATAAATAGGTACCACTCCAGCGGGAAGGTAAACGGTGTTTGCGTGCGCTGCTCTGGTTCGCCAGAAGCGGCTTAGTCATGCTGGCCACATGACCCGGAAGCTGTACGCCGGCTCCCTCTGCCAATAAAGTGAGATGGTCACAACTGGACCTAATGGTCAGGGGTCCCTTTACCTTTTTAAACTACTTCCAGGCCCAGCCCACTCATGAGGTGGGGTGAAGGCATTGCCTCAGGTGGCAGAAGTCCTCAAGGCCAATGTGTACCCACAGGCTCCCTGCTGCCTCCAGCACCAACACTGAAATATCGCAAGATCTTGAGAAGCATGCGGGATCTCACGAGATTTCTGCAACATCTTGCCGGAAATCAGCACCAGTTCTGACGCCACTTCTCCACCACCAGCGGGACGGGCGGCAGGGTAAGGCGGAACTTCCTGTTTCGCCCTAAGTAGTGAAATGGGACATTCCACCCCTGCCCACCTTGCAAGGTTGTTGTGAGCACAAAATGGGATTGGAGGCTAAGAACTCTGTACGCTGCCCTAGAGCTCCTTGGAGGAAAAATGAGAAGTTAATAAAATACATAAAGCATTAGCTTAGTTTGGATTATTCATGTGTGTGCTGTATAAGAAAAAATAGGGGGGGGCATATATTGCTACTTTTTTTTTTTGGCTAAGAAAAAAACAGCAAGTAATCAGAGCAGTGCAAGCCATCTTCCAGATCTGGCGAGTCCAGAACATCTCTGGCTGCAGGTGCAAAGCCTCTTTTCCCCACAACATACAGCGTTTCTCGAAGCTACAGCTGACTCATTTTATTTTTCTGAGCTGTTGTGGAAAATGCATCCTGTGGGGCTGTTGGGAGTTGTAGTCCCAAACCACAAAGCGAAGTCTGTGCTCAGATGATCAGACAAGTCGAACGTGTTTGAATAAAAATGATCATTCTAACATTCTGCCTATTTTTGTTTGCATCATCATCATCATCATCATCATCATTATTATGAAGACAGGCTGCACAAGGTTTTTGTTTTTAATGGGGTTTAAAAAGGTCAGAGGCCATCGCTTTACAAGGACACCCACTCTCAGTCAACCTGACTTTGCCTCTTCAATTCATGATTAGAACTCAGAGCCCTTTTCCCCACCCCTCCTCTTACCTCTCCCACAGGGCCGTCTATTTTGCCTGCTACTCCAAGGCCAAGCAGCAGTTCAATAACATCTTTGTGCCGAACAGCAACATCGTCCATGTCTGCTCAGCAGGTTCTGCAGGTTTGTAACCTTAATCGAAGGGGGTGTAGTTTACGAGCCAGTGCTTTTTATGAAAATGCACTGAATAAAAGCAGCTGTGCCTCTATTGGGGCCAACCAGGCTAAGGGGTTGGCAGCCTGGCAGCCTCAGGGTGTGGGTGGGAAGACCTTTTTTGGCCAACAGGCTGGATCTTTATCTCCTCCCCCTCCCCACAACAGGCTAACTTTGACAGGTGGGTGGGATCATCCACCTTGCAATCACCTGACATCAGAATGCTAGCCGAGGCAGGTAGACTTGACTGGTGAGCAGCCTGGCTGCAAGTCCATTGTTATCATTAAATTTATTACTCACTCTTCACCAGCAGATCCCAGGGCAGGTTACATCGATTTAACATTTAAAACAGTTAAAATAGACGACAAATCACAGGTACAAGGTGGGCTCTGAAAACTCGTGTCTCAGGTGTCAAAAGCCAGGGTTAAGAGGTGGATCTTCAGCTGGACACTGTACAGCAATGAAGCCAGGCACACCTTTAAACCAGGAGTGAATAAACACAAGGCCAAATTCAAGATACAATTATAGAGCTCGAAAGTGTATTTTTTTTAAAAAAAGTTAAAACTTTTGAAACAGATTTATGAACAGATGTAACCAAGTCATGTGTCTGGATCGGCTTTTCCAAACAGGAAAGGCGTGCTGAAACGAATGAGGTTAATTTCCCTAGTTATCACATCCAGGTTTATTTATTTAAGGATTTTAAATAAACTGCTTGAAAAAATAAATCTCTAAGCAGTGTACATTAAATATTGCCTAATTGTCTTTGCCTAATTGAAGCCACATTTCCTTAATTTTGCCTGGTGTGAGAGTGACTTAAGAGAATTGAAGTCTTGTTTGAACATTATATGTAACAAGTGAAGTCTTGTTTGAACATTATATGTAACAAGTGAAGTCTTGTTTGGACATTTTATGTATGTTTGAACGTTGCATGATCAGTCCAGTGGCCCATCTATTCCAGCATCCTGTTCCCAACTAGATGTCTGTGGGAAGCCAGGAAGCAGGAACTGAGGGCAACAGCAGGGTTCTCCCCACATGTGATTCCTAGCTACTGTCTTCCTCTTTGCGAAAACAACAGTGTGTGACAAAGGGAGCAGCAAGAATCAAACAAGGAGGACTGCTCAGTTTCCTTCTGTCTCGCAAATAAGGGAGCTGCCTCCCTTCTGAGACCAGCTCACCTGTGTGCATTTCCTTTCTTTCTGTCTCCCTTTTTATTTTTTGCATTGGATCAGAAGTGCCGATCTCCAGGCACAGAGCAGCTGTGTGTGTATTCCAGCCGCTCTCCAGTTACACAAGCTGCTATCCAGCTCGAGCCAGAGCAGAGCTTGAAATAAACCAAGTGTTACATGGGCCGCTTACATAACTTTGGAGACATGTGCCTTTCTGCAGAAAGCAACCGGGAAATGTGGCTATGCGTCTCCGTTAATTTGATCTGGCCATTTTACCTGCTCAGTTGGTTTTTACATGTTTCTACCGTGTGTATGCAAATTTGCAGTGGCTGATGCAAATAATTGCCTGCCTTCCTGTTAACAGCTGAGGGCTGTGGCTCAGAGGGAGAGCACTTGTTTTACATACAGAAGGTCCCAGGTTCAATCCCTGGCATCTCCAGGTCAGAAAGGACTTTTTACCTGCGACCCTGGAGAGCCACTGCCAGTCAGTGTAGACAACACTAAACTTTAGGGACCCAGTGGTCTGACTCTGTATAAGGCAGCTTCCCATTCAAATCAGTCCTTTATGCAGAACCATGAGGACTAGAATCTTACTTTACTTTTTAGCAGGGGGGCTCTGCTGTGGAACACCTGCATTGCATGAAGAAGGTCCTACGTCCAACCCCCAGCATCTCCAGATAAAGGCTGGGGTACAAGTCCACAGAGCCACTGCAAGCCCGTGTAAAGAGTACTGGGCTAGATGGACTTAAGGGCCTGATTTGGTGTAAGGCACCTTCCTGTCAATCCCTGGGATCTGTCCCCCCGCCCCCCAAAAAAGATCAGGTAACAAGTGATGGGAGAGATCACTTGTATGAGACTGTAGAAAAGCACTAAAGTCAGAGTTGATAATGTTATACCAGGTGGGCCAATGGACAGAGGTGATCTAAGGTAGTATTGCCCACCCTTTTTCCTCTGCCCCAAAGCCACCTCTGTTGATCACATCCAGAAGTGGACAGATGACTCAACAATGCCACCTAGAGCTCCTGCATAGGTGGTACACACACTTTCATGCATAGACATTTACTGAATTTGTAAGGGCAGCTTGAGATGTTCCACCTGTCCTGGACACAACTGCAGGGAATGCCAATGGGCTCTTTAAAAAAGTGGAAGGGTTGATTTAGGTTTGTGTTTAGTGCTGAGCACACATGCACAAAGACATTTGGATACCTACTTTTAGACTGGTTTTCAAAAAAGCTTTTCAGTCAAACTGTCCCCAGCAGAGATGAAAGAAACATTAAACTATTTTCCATATGAGGGCTGCAGGAGGTTCTTTGTCTTTGAAAAATGGAAGCTGCTGTCAAGCTCTTGCTCCATCTAGCTCAGTGCTGTCTACACTGGCTTGCAGCACCTCTCCAGGGCTTCAGGCAGAGAGTCTTTCCGAGCCCTACCTGGGGATGTCAGGGATTGAACCTGGGATCTTTTTGCTTGCAAAGCAGAGGCTCTGCCACTGAGCTACTTGTAAGTGATGTTCCATGGGATGTGCAAGAGATGCTTCTTTTCAAGTTTATAGCTGTATATTATCTACAATTTTATTACGGGCACTGCATAGAGTGCTTTGTGATTAAGCAGAATAAAAACCTTTCTAAATCTTTGTGGGAGTGGGGCTTATTGGTTTGCTTTGTTCTTACTATGTATTTTGTGTTTTTATCTTATATTTGTATGCTGTGAACCACCCTGAGATCTTTGGATGAAGGGCAGTATCCATATTTAATAAATACATGAAATACAGGAGGGGAATGCACACATCTTGAAAACCAAAACAACGATCTCTTTTCCTTGATGCTTCTTATCCATATGGAAACTTCTTGCAGGTCACAGTGTTGTTGTTAAGATTTGTATACCTCCCTTTATTTGTAGATAAAGCACACAAAATGCATAATAAAATTAAGAACAAAAACAAACCAATAATCCCTCCTCCCACAACACATTTAAAAGGGCATCGGATGTCAATCAGATCAAAGAGGAACATTTTCAACTGGCACCTAAAGGACAGGGAGAGATCTTTCCAATCACTGCTAACCAATCTGCATTAACTGACAATGTGCCCGGGACCTTCTGCAAGCGCCCAAATGTGCCCTGTCACCAGGCTGCCTTTTCCCCGCCTGTCCTTTCCTTTTCTCAGTGCTTTGACAAGTTAACCAATTTCCTTCTCCCTCATCTGTTTCGCAGCCTTTATCACAAACTCGCTGATGAACCCCATATGGATGGTGAAAACCAGGATGCAGCTGGAAAGGAGGTAATCCCAGGGGCTGAGCTGGTGAAACAGCACCTAAGGGAAAGGAAGGTGTATTTGCAAAGGATGCTCTAGAGGGGGCTGTAACGAGGGGGGGTTAGCTCTTCCGCTTGGGGGCTGCATCCTATTCTGGGCCACTGTCTCCCTCAGCTGTGTCACCTCCACCAAGCTGCCTCAGCAGGAGAGATAGGCAGGAGAAGTCTTCTTTCATCACCTCCTTGCCTTTGAACGGTGTCAGCTGGTCTTTATGGGAACAACCGTTTAGAACAGGCTTCCTCAAACTTGGCCCTCCAGATGTTTTTGGCCTACAACTCCCATGATCCCTAGCTAGCAGGACCAGTGGTCAGGGATGATGGGAATTGTAGTCTCAAGTAAGTAGTTTGAGGAAGCCTGGTTTAGAAATTGGTGTCTGTGTTTTGATTTTGGTTTTCCTCTTCCCACCCTGTCCACTCTCCCTTGTGTGCTGTGTGTGTTTGTTTGTTTTTTAAGATATTAAGCCTGCAAGTAAGGGGACTGTCTTGTTTTGATGGTGCATCAGCCACCCTGGGAACCGTTTTGACCGAAGAGGAGAGTGCAGATCCTATATATACATACATACGTACATACATACATATATACATGCATGCATAAATAGTGCCTTTAAAAATTGGAATAAATGGATGGTAATTCATTTTTTTGGGATGGAGGGTGGTGGGAGAAATTCTGGGTTGCAACTAATGCTAATTCTACAAGAGTAAATTCATGGCTGGCTTCAGTAGGTCTACTTCTGGAGTAGGACTAGAACAGCTGTAGACCACCGGTCACGTATCTTGATTCAAGTAAGGTACTGAACACTGTCTCTCTCCACCCCCACCTGCCTTTTTGCATTCCAGAGTCAGAGGTTCGAAGCAGATGAACGCGCTGCAATGTGCTCGCTATGTCTACCAGACAGAAGGAGTCCGCGGCTTCTATCGGGGCCTGACTGCCTCCTACGCTGGGATCTCTGAGACCATCATCTGCTTTGCTATTTATGAGAGCCTGAAGAAGCACGTGAGCGAGGTCCGGTTGGCCCCTTCTCCCGCTGGCGGGACAGAGCGGAACTCCACAAGTTTCTTCGGATTGATGGTCGCCGCTGCCATTTCTAAAGGCTGTGCGTCATGCATTGCTTACCCACATGGTACGTGAGCTGCACCCTTTGCTGGACTGGCTTCCGTCCAGGCACTGACCTCCTTCAGTTCAGCTTCCTGAAATGCCCCTAGCTATTTATTTATTCTCTTTTTTTTTTAAAATAAATTTTTATTGATTTTCCAAACACATAATAAAAACAAACCATACACAAAACAAAAACATACAAACATATAAACATGTATAATTTCATAGTCTTATTTTCATACACCTTACTTCTCGGACTTCCCCATACCTCCCCTTTTCTGCATCCTTGTTTTACATTTCTTCAGCAACTCCTTCAATTAATTAATTATTTCAATCACTTTCATTAGATTCTTTTTTCTTTAACTTATTAATTTCAGCTGCAATTCTCTATTTCTTAATTCCTTAACATCTTAACACTCCTCAATTTTACAACAATTTTTAAGATATATTTTAAATTTCTTCCAGTCTTCTTCCACTGTCTCTTTCCCCTGGTCACGAATTCTGCCGGTCATCTCTGCCAGTCCCATATAGTCAATCACCTTCGTCTGCCATTCTTCCAGAGTGGGTAGTTCTTGTGTCTTCCAATACTTTGCCAGAAGAATTCTTGCTGCTGTAGTAGCATACATAAAAAATGTCCTGTCCTTCCTTGGCACCACTTGGCCGACCATGCCCAAGAGAAAAGCCTCAGGTTTTTTAGAGAAAGTCCACTTAAGGACTTTCTTGATTTCATTATAGATCATTTCCCAAAAGGCTTTGATCTTCGGGCAGGTCCACCAAAGGTGATAAAAAGTACCTTCAGTCTCATTACATTTCCAACATTTATTATTGGGCGAATGGTAAATTTTTGCAAGCTTGACTGGGGTCATGTACCACCTGTAAATCATTTTCATTATGTTTTCTCTTAAGGCATTACATGCCGTAAACTTAACACCGGTGGTCCATAACTGTTCCCAGTCAGCAAACATAATGTCATGGCCAATATCTTGTGCCCATTTAATCATAGCTGATTTCACCGTTTCATCCTGTGTATTCCATTTCAACAGCAAATTATACATTCTAGACAGATTCTTAGTATTGGGTTCTAACAGTTCTGTTTCTAATTTTGACCTCTCCATCTGGAAGCCTATTTTCCTGTCCTGTTTAAATATCTCATTTATCTGAAGATAATGCAACCAGTCTCGTACCTTGGGCTTTAGTTTCTCATAACTCTGTAATTTAACTTTTTCACCGTCTTGCTCTATAATTTCACAATATTTTGGCCATTTAGACTCCATATTGAGTTTTTTCACCTCTTTAGCTTCCATTGGTGACAACCACCTGGGAGTTTTACTTTCCAATAGGTCTTTGCTATTTATTTATTCTCATTCATTCATAATCAAGTTGCTAGCCCTCATGGTTGGTTGTACAACAGGGATGAGGAATCTGGTCCAGGCCTGGTGCCTGCCAGGGGGTCCAAATCTGACTGCAGGGCCATTTGCCCCAAACCACGCCCACCTGCCTGTCATCTGATGTCACTCGTGACATCTGGCAGGTGGGAGGGTGGGCAGGGTTGAATCCTGCATTTGCTGTAAACACCCAGAGAGTGGGTGGGCTGGCATCCAAACTGAGCAGGATTTAATCCTATGATTTAAGCAGGATTTAAACCGCAGCAGGGAACAGGGACGTGCTGACAAAACTGAGCGGGATTTAACACCCCCCCCCCACCAACACTTATTCACTGATTGGGGGGTGGGCCTTAAATCCTTTCTGGTTAGGCTGAATTTCTTGCAAACCCCTTCCTGATTTGGGAAGTGGTTTGCATGGAACCCGCTCCTAAAAGCAATGAAGGCCAACTCGGTTTTAGCATTGCCTTGAAAGGTGCTTTGAAGACCCGTGTTCAGGACTTGAAAGCACCTTGCACCTAATGTCATTGTGGAATTGCCAGTTTTGATAAGGATCTAGCCCATGGAGCTAAAATGGTTCCCAACCCCTGCTGGGAGGTATGCTTGAAAAGAGGATGGGTGATACCTGGTTGTTTGGCAGGTGTGCCATTGTCCCCTCGTGCAAACCAAAATTCTGCAAAACAGCAGCCTATGCAAATGCAGAAAGTTCATATTCTAAAATTCTTTCTTGCAAGCAAAACAGTTTGCCACTACACTATGCCACCAAATAACTCACTGAGGAAAACTTAAAAGGGGCATTGCAGGGGTTTGGTCTAGATGAGCCTAGAAGTCCCTTCCAACTCTACAATTCTATTATTCCAACACCTTTAATTTGTCTCTCTTTCATACTCTAGAGGTTATACGGACAAGACTACGGGAGGAAGGCACCAAGTACAAGACGTTTGTCCAGACGGCGCGGCTGGTGTTTCGGGAAGAGGGCTACTTGGCCTTCTACAGAGGACTCTTTGCCCAGCTCATGCGGCAGATCCCAAACACGGCTATTGTCCTGTCTACCTACGAGTTAATAGTGTACCTGTTAGAAGACCGAGTTAAGTAGCCGACCAAGACTTGAATTAAAAACGCACTCAGACAAACAAACAAAAAACTGTTAAAACTTCCACAGGCCAGTTTCTTCGCAAAGAGCCGTTTCAAACAGTCGGACAGGACTGGAGAGTTGGAAAAATCATGGATCATTTTGCTTGATAACGCGCTCTCTTTTAAAAAGTTTATTTTCTGCTCTTTTTTCTTCCTTAGGGGATTCATGCTTTCTGAAAGGTATTGATGTTTAAATGTTAATAGTTAATTATTACCTTTTTTTTAACTTAAAAGAGACGAGGTTCAGAAATTAAAAACGACAAAACTAAATTAAAATCACTATTTAATTTACATAACACACCTTGGGTCATTCATCTATTACCTTCACCCCAATGAAGCAAAAAACGTTGGGTGGGATGTTTGGAAGAATAGTATTTTGTAATCTCAGAAGATAAGAGGTTTCACAAACATAGAAATTGGTGCCTAGTATGATTTCACACAGTGAGAGTCTTGGGGGTTGCTTTTTAAAAAAGAAAAAATCAAGTCTCTAGACCTGATGATTAATAAAATTAACTTTAAGCCGATATGGGGACCCCGTGGCCCTCCAGATATTGCTGGCCTAGACTAGGAACTCCAGGACATCTCTGGCCATTGTAGTCCAACATCTTGAGCAGAGATGGGGAACCTGTGAGTGTAGCTGGAATACAATTCCCATCATCCCTGACCATTCGCCTTGCTAGCTGAGAATTGATGGGATCTGGAATCCTAGAACATCTGGAGAGAACGTTTTATCACACCAAAGTGTTTGTAATGGCTAAATGGAACCCTCCCATGTTCAGGGTTATTTTCATCATCACTCCCATCTAATAGCAAATTCAGCTGGACTGGATTATAGTCAAAACAGGGCTGGCTGGGAGACATTAGTTTGCAAAAGCCCCCCCCCCCAAAAAAAAATTGGGGGTGGAGGACTCAAAAGCGTAGAGAAATGGCTCACCGACGACTGAGCGAGCTCAGTGTCCCACCAGTCACTTAACAGGTATAATATATACCCCTCTGGGTGTCACAAAACTGAAAATCCCATCATCCTTGCTGGCCAGGGCTGATGGGAGTTGTGGCTCAGCAACACTGGAAGAGCCAAAGGTTCCGCGCACCTAACTTTTTATTCAGTTATTCCAAACTGCATGGAATATATATTCTGTTTGGGGTTGGGGAGAATGCATAAAACCTTGCCTAAGAGCTTGCAGCAGACTGTTGCCTCCATCCCCTTCTTGTGGGTTTTCTAGATGCCTCACTTGGACAGCTTTGAAAGAAGATTGAATGAATTCATGGAGGATCTCAATGGCTACTTACTCACCCTGGTGGCTGCGTTTCACCTCCACTGCCAGAGGCAGTAAATGCTTCTGAATACCAGTGGCTGAGAACCACAGGTGGGAAGAGTTGCTACATGGGGTGAGGTCCTGCTTGCGGGGCTTCTCCCAGTGGCCACCCAGATGTGCCATTGGGAACAAGGTGCTAGACAAGATGGGTCTCTGGGTGGGTGAACAGGTGTACATCCATAAAATCATTCTAGTCCAACCCCCTGCAATGCAGGAATCTCAACTAGATCATACATGACAGATGACCACCAAACCTCTGCTTAAAAACTTCCAAGGAAGGAGTCCACCACATCTTGTGGCAGTCTGTTCCACTGTCAAACAGCTCTCACTGTCAGAAAGTTCTTTCTGATGTCCAGTCAGAATCTCTTTTCTTGTTACAGTGCTACCTCGGGTTACATACGCTTCAGGTTACATATGCTTCAGGTTACAGACTCCGCTAACCCAGAAATAGTACCTCGGGTTAAGAACTTTGCTTCAGGATGAGAACAGAAATATTGTTCGGGCGGTGCAGCAGCAGCAGGAGGCCCCATTAGCTAAAGTGGTGCTTCAGGTTAAGAACAGTTTCAGGTTAAGAACGGACCTCTGGAACGAATTACTGTATTTTTTGCACTATAAAAGTAAGGGGAAATGTGTGTGTGTGTCTTATGGAGTGAATGCAGGCTGCGCAGCTATCCCAGAAGCCAGAACAGCAAGAGGGATTGCTGCTTTCACTGCACAGCAATCCCTCTTGCTGTTCTGGCTTCTGAGATTCAGAATATTTTTTTTCCTTGTTTTCCTCCTCCAAAAACTAGGTGCGTCTTGTGGTCTGGTGCGTCTTATAGAGCGAAAAATACGGTAAGTACTTAACTCGAGGTACCACTGTACTTGAATCCATTAGTCTGGGTCCTAGCCACACAATTTGAATGAATTAGTCAGTTGGGTGGGGGTCAGCTTGCGGCAGGGGCATCTAATTTTTCTTGACCCACCCACCCTCCTCTGTGCAGTTGCTCTACCTCAGGGGTCAGCAACCCGCGGCTCCAGAGCCGCATGTGGCTCTTTTACACCGCTCCGGGGCGGATACTAGCGAGGGGAGGAGGCGCATTGTGCGCCCCGACACTCCCCACTGTGGCGGGCACTGTACTGGCTGTGACATCGCATGGGGGCGGTGCGTGCGTTAGTCACGCACCGTCCCGACGTCACCTTCCCAGTTTTGCGGCTCCCAGTTTTTTTTCCTTCGGAAACGGGTCCAAGTGGCTCTTTTTGTCTTAAAGGTTGCAGACCCCTGCTCTACCTCATGCCTGGTGTGCCAGCCCTTGAAAGCTTCCCCATGCAGAAATGCAGCTCCATTTCAGTTCATTAGAAGCAGGAAAAATAAAAGTAAAATGTATACAAAATGGCCCAGCTAACTTTTTCTCAGAGTAGACGCAATGAAATTTGTTAATTTGACAGGTTAGTCCTGTCCTAGGAACCTTTCAGCGAAGCCTTATAAGCCAATGCTGGTCCTACTCAGAGTAAACCCACTAAAGTTAATGCACATGACTAACTTGGGTCCATTCATTTCAATGGGTCTCATCTGAGTAGGACTTAGATGGATGCAGCCCACAGCATTTCCTAACTCCTGAGTGTGCGGGGAGCCTACAACCCCTATGAGTCATTCCCACGATCTACTTTTTTCTCTCCTTCCCGGTTGCCTCGACTCCGCGTTACAGCGAGGGAGTCGCGGACCGAAAAGGTGGGCGACGGGGGGGGGGAGTGTTCGTGCTCGCCGCCGCGTGAAAGGCCAGCATCGTGCCAGCCTGCGCGCGTGAATCAGCTTTTGAGAGGAGGGGAGTTTTTCCAAGCACGAAAAGCCAGCTTTAAAAACGGGGTCTCGCTTCCTCCAAGGTCCTGCCACAAGCACGGATCAAGCATTTCAAAGGCGTGAGTCGTGACGGATATTTTCGATTTGCCAGCCGGGGGCGTGGAAGTCTCTTGCTTCCTTTTAGAATTTATTAGACTGAGCCGCTCAAGCTTTTTTTTTAAAAGATAAATAAAGGGCGATCCGCTTGATTTTTGACGCCACTCTGCGTGAACACACATAAAAGGTTTGCTTATTTTCGTCATTATTCCACAATGGGGTGAACAGTGCTTCAGTGTGCACAGAGCTCGTGTGCAAAGCTCCCACTTCCACAGCCACGTGCTGCGTTCACCAGCGCTTACTCCCAAAGGGGGAAAGCGTGCGTAAAAGGATCGCCGCCTCGGATTCTTTTTTTCCTTCCCCGCGCCGCCTCCAGCCATGCTTACCCACGCCTCGTGCCGGTGATTGGAAGGCGAGGCAGCTAGCGGCGGGTACATGCGAGAAGGGGGCGGATCGGTGCCTCCTGGAAGAGGAGGAGCGGCGGCGGCAGTGGAGGGAAGGTCATACCGCTTTATAGAAAGAGGGGAGGAGAAAAGGAACCGCTCCAATTGCCCGCTGTGTCTACTGAACCGGGCGGGGGGTAACGCTCTTGATCAACGCGTTTCGCCTTTGGCGCTTTTTCTGGATTTGCTCTGCCACGCGCGGGCGCGCTTTCTTCTAATTCTTCAAAGCGTTGGAGCAGAGGGCGCCGCGGGGGGTGGGGGAGTGAGGCGTGGAGGTGAGAAAGGGAGCCGGGCGCGCGATTGGACACTCCGCGTTCTAAAGAGGCTGCTCGTTACTCAGCGTTCCGAAAGGCTCGGCCGAGCATTCCAATCCGCATCCGGCGCTTCTCTCCTCCTCCTCGCGCTCCGAAAGCTGCAACTGAACGTTCTAAGAACGCTCCCCCTCGACGCGTTCTAAGAGGAGGCGCCGTTCTTTCTTTGCTGAGCGCGCGGTGGAAACAGCCTTTTATTATTTTTTTCCCCCTTCTCTTTTCGCGACCGCCCCCTCGCACGAGGAATCCGAGCAGCGGTCGTTGCAATTCCGTTTACTCCCCCCCACCGCTCCCTTTTCAGTTCCCCTTCCCTCCTCCTCCCCCCCTGAGCCTTTTCTTCCGCAGAGCCCAGCGGCCATGGAGGGAGTCGGCGCGCTGCTGGCCGGCTGCCCCACCGCCGGCCTGGCCGGGGGCCTGGGGGTGACTGTGTGCGCCGCTGCCGGCGGAGTCCTGCTGTACAAAATCGCCCGGAGGTAAGCCGTGCTTTATTTTAAATGCCTACAGTATCCCATGGAATTGCGATCGAGGCAGTAATACAAATGATAATGTAATATAAAAGATCCGCCGCGCGGATTAAGCTGCCTCCAGGAGGCGAGCATGCTTTGGGAGGCCCAGCCAGGCAAGCTGGGCGGGGTTGCCGCCTTAAGCCTTCGGAAGGGGAGCGACCATGCTTGAGACTCGCCTCCCTTCGATTTGAACTGCCGGGATCTTCCTGCGGGAGGGCGAGTCTTTCCTCCCGCCTCTTTGCTTCTCTTGTTTCTTTTTGGGAGAGAGGAATATTTTTTTAAATGTCCGGGTTTTTTTCGGGGAGGGGGGTGAAGTCCCGCCCCCTTCCGGAGTCAGGAACCGCTTGTAGAGAAGCGTGCCATCCGAACGGGTTTCAATGAATGCCGAGTTAGCTTTATTAAAAAACGACCACAAAAGTTTTACAGTGATGAAAGACTGAAGCTGTATTTTAATTAAGGCGGAACTGACAACCTACCTGTCTCAGTGTTGTCAGCACGGACTGGCAGGTGCCTCTCCACGCCCTACCTGGAGGCTCCGTTGGGGATATAAAAGCTGCCTTGAGTCAGACCCTTTGTCCGTCTCGCTCAGTATTCTTCTACTGTGATTCCGAGCAGCTTTCTAGGGTTTCAGCCCTTCCTAGCCATACTGATTGTATATTAAAATTTACACGGTCCTGTGTTGCTCAGTGGATTTGAACCGGAGTTATGAGCGGATAAGCATATAAGGGGCGGTTTTGTTACTGAGGTTGTGATTTAGGGAATCCTGCCCAAATATTGGTGGTTGTGCACAAGAAGTGACCTTACAGTATCCCTGTTCTCTCAGCTTTGTTCCATATCCAGTACAGTGTTAGAAACTCTCATATACAAGCTTGGATGTGCATCTTGAAAGCCTGCTTAAAAGGTGGGTCTAATCCAGCCTTCTGTGGTCCTTGCGATGCTTGGGACTACAACTCACATCATCCCAGCCTGTTGGCAATGCTGGCTGAGGCTGGAGGCAGTCGTGGAAACTCAGATATATAAGCTAATCGCCAAATAGCACCTTAATCCTGGGTTGTGGTCACCACAATGGAATGTCTGGGCATCTTTTCCAGTGAATTGTTAATTATTTATTAATTTCATTTCTATGCCACTTTATATCTTTAAAAAATCTCAAGGTGGTTTACAACACATTAAAACATCAAATCAAACAATCCAGACTAAAACAAATGCAAGCTTTAAGGAAAATATTTCAGATCCTTCTCCAGGTGACATTTTGCTTTCCCCATATTTACTTACCTACGTAATTTTTAGAGCTGTTGCATAGCAGCAGGACTCTAGGAAGCCAGTGTGGTGTAGTGGTTAGAGTGTCAGACTAGGACCTGGGAGATCAGGTTCAAATTCCTCCTCAGTCATGAAGCTCGCTGGGTGACCTTGGGCCAGTCATAGCCTCTTAACCTACCTCACAGGGCTGATTTCTAACACTGGAGGGTGTTGGGTTGGCGAAAGCCCGGCCCAACTGTTGGATGCTTTGGGTAATGTTTTGCTTCTGTGGATCACTGTGGACATAAGACTGCCCAGGTGGACACAAGCTAGCTGATCCCATAAGGACTGCAATTCTCAAACTGTGCCTTGAGAAAGAAGTTGATGAGTCTGAAATGAGTAATATGCCCTTGGAAGTTTCCTAAAGAACTTCACGTTATGCGGTGACATACAAATGTTGTAAATAAATAAAACAGTCTAGGGAGCAGCCTGCTTTGAACTCCAGTGAAAGCTGACTTGGTAATTCTGCTGTTTCTGAACTAGATAGGCTTCAGTCAGTCAGTCACTCCCAGTTGCAGAGCCATGGCAAAGTGTCCTTGCTCTCAAGGGTTGTGCTTCTGTATGAGTTGCTGTTCTGGGCTTCGCCTCCTTCCAGTCCTAGAATCCCAAGGTGAGCAATGTATACAGAAGCATGGGGTGGTAGGAGGAAAGTAGAACACTTTCTCACACACACACATCCGTGTGTAAGATGTGGTGTAAGATTGAAATGTGCTTTCCAGTTATAATAGTTCCTTTGCTGCCAGAGGTTTAGGAAGAGTAAGACGTTCTCAATGGAACCAAGTCAGGTTTTGTTTTTTATAGATTGTAGAGTTGGAAGGTGTACTCCAAGGTTCATCTAGGTCAGCCCCTTGCAATGCAGAAATCGCAGCTAAAGAATCCACCCAACCCCTGTTTAAAAGCCTCCATTGAAGGAGAGTCCACCACCTTCCAAGGGAGTCTTTTCCACTGGTTTGCATTCTCTCTGTGTAAAGGCAAAGGGACCCCTGACCATTAGGTCCAGTTGTGGCCGACTCTGGGGTTGCGGTGCTCATCTCGCTTTATTGGCTGAGGGAGCCGGCGTACAGCTTCCGGGTCATGTGGCCAGCATGACTAAGCCGCTTCTGGCAAACCAGAGCAGCGCACGGAAACGCCGTTTACCTTCCTGCCAGAGCGGTACCTATTTATCTACTTGCACTTTGACGTGCTTTTGAACTGCTAGGTTGGCAGGAGCAGGGACCGAACAACGGGAGCTCACCCCGTTGCGGGGATTCAAACCGCCAACCTTCTGATCAGCAAGTCCTAGGCTCTGGTTTAACCCACAGCGCCACCTGTGTCCCTTCTCTCTCTGTGTGGAAACACATTATTGAAAGCCACGTCCTCTGCTGTTCCATGTTTCTAATTGAATAAAGTGCCCTCTGAGAACAGTTTGGGTCTGTGCATTTTAAAAATTTTATTGTTACGAACCTGTGTTGGTCCTGTGCTAATTCAGCTGTCATTGCTTCCCATGGTGGAGGTGTCAGGACTCGAGGAAGCTAGTAAATCATAAGATAATAATCATTTCCTCACGTTCCCAAGGGCCATATTCCCTTCTGAGGGCCACATCCTAGTATGGGTGGGGCTAGAGGCAAAAGTGGGCTGGGCAACTAATGTAGTTTCCTCCCCTTTCATCCGCGGGCTTGTTTCTCTAAACACACCTCTCCCAATTCTCCATCCAGGCAGGCAAAATCAGAGTTCAAGGCCACATTCCTGCCAGGCAAGAACACTCGAGGGTGCAGAGCAAGGCTCATGAGGATTCTGACTTTGGGGAAGGGGGTTCTGAGGAACAGATCATGCGACCTGGAGGGGCCACCCTTTGCATACATGATAGATTACATGCTTTACAACAGCCCTGTAAGGTGGGATGGTAGCACAGGTAGGTTGGAGGCTGAAAGGGAGAGCGGTGACTTTGAATGAGGTTCCCCTTCCGTCTACTCAAAAGGAGGTCCGTTGATTGTTAGTCATGGTGGCTGGGCTGTTCCTCCACAGTCAGAGGTAGCAATGTTTTTGAATGCCAGTTGCTGGAAACTGGAGGGGAGAGGGCTCTTGTGCTAGGGTCCTGCTTTTGCTGGTTTCTCACAGGCATCTGGTTGGCCGCTGTGAGAACATGATGCTGGACTAGCACCAACCTGGGCTCTCAGAATGGAAATTTCAAAAAATTCTAGCAAAGCAGAGCTTATTTTGTTTTCACTCTGAAGCAGATGCTGCAGGTGAGCGTTAAGATTCCTGTTGTTTGACTAGGAGAATGATTAGAGGAGGCAGGCAAAAAACACACAAGTGAATGGTTTTTTTCATCAATTGCAGGCAAAGGATCAGCCTTGAGAATGTCTCTCTGGTGGAATGTGAGGAATGCCTTTCGTTTGGGGAGGAGGTCTTGTACAGCCACTTTTCTCCATCTTCCTCCAGGCCTGAGCAGAACTTGGGAAGAACATTTTAAAATGTCCACTGCCCTTTTTTGCAAGTTAATAACTGCTGTCTTGCATTGCAACAGTGGCCCCCAAAGTTTTAATCCTTAAAATGCACCTCACCCCCGATTAAAAAAAAAACCACTTCTGGAATCATGTTACTCTTGCCTCTTAAATCTGGAAAAATATGTTTCCGTGTATTTCTCCATGAATCGTTATTTTGGACACGCAGAGGTGCAGTGGATACTCTCCTCTGAGTGTAGCTGATTCTGGCAAGGAAAGGTTACCCTCCCAACAGCCTTTTCAGGTAGGCTAAGTGACAGCCTGATTTGTCCAAGGACCCCCATTGAGCTTCATGGCTGTGCAGTGTATTTCCCTTATCCAGGATATGTCTGACCTTGTTACTCATCATCTACGCTGCCTGCAAGTTAGTAGGGTTTTCGTTGAGCTTCTGTGTTCTGGCCCTTAAATTTTGGCTCCCTGCTTGAGCTTTGTGGCCCAGGAAGCAGACCCAGCCTTCGTCGTTTTGAGTAACTTTGGAATGCCGTTTGTGGGGCAAGCAGCTTTTCCCAGATAAGAGTTTAATGTGTCTTTTATCAGCGCCTTTGCCTTTCTGCAGAGTGTCCTTGAATTGTGATAAAACTCATTGCTTTTCTGGTTATAAAAATGGGTGTAGCTCTCTGGCTTTTGCATGACTGGAATATAAGCTTACTTTGCAAAGGGAAGAGTCGCATCCCTTAACTGCTCACCTCTGCCTCTGGCATGTGGCCCCCAGAAGGTTACTAACAAGGGAATGTGGCCCTCAGGCTGGAAAAAAAGTTTCCTCTTCCTTGTTCTAAGATATGTGTTTTGCTGGGGTTTCATTGCACGTGGGGAGGGGGTGCTGACTTCAGCTTCAAAGAAAAAATAATGTGAGGCATCAGTCTATCAATGGCTATTGCTTATATTGATGAAACGGAACCTCCATATACAAAGGCAGCATACCTCAGAACCCCATGTGCTGGTAACAGATGGAGGAGTGTAGTAAACGCTATGCAATGCTCCTGAATTTCTTGCCCTCTCCTAGACACCATGCTTGAGCAGACAGATTTGCAGGGCCTGTGATTTGCCTGATAATCTCCATCTTGTTCAGACCAGCCACCCCCTTCTGCGTTTTCTTGATCTAAAACAGCATTGTTTTTGTTCTTAATGCGTCTGTGGCCCCAGATAGAGTAGGATCACGGAAATGGTGCCATGAGATTATCGCTTCTTCGTCTGAGAAAGGCACAAGCCGAGGAAAACTCCACGCTGCTCCCAGTTTGTCTGAAATGAAAGGACTGCCATACAGCCTGCATTTGAGGAAGCAGAAGGCACAAGAGAGCTGAGTAGGGGCACCTGGAGCCAGAATGGCCTCTTGACCTCGGTGGAAACTCTTGATTGGGCCTGTTTGTTGCTCTCTGCGGTTTGTGAGGAAGAAAAGCCATCTCTCGGACAGCTTTCATGGAGAATCCAGTAAAACTGGCTACCGCTGTCCTGGATTTTTCTGTTGTGGTGCCTTCTAGATGTTGTCAGACTCCTTTGCATCAGCCCTGAGCAGTTTTAGAAGCTCAGATATATAAGCTAGGCACCAAATGGCTTCTTAAACCAGGATTACAGTCAACCAAAATGGAACGCCCAGTTGCCCTTTTTAGGCCAGACGGCTCGAAAGTCATTTTTTCCCCATGCGACTTTGGGGTTCCTGAAATTCATTCTGATTGTGCAGATAAAATATAATGGTTAGAATTCCACAGGATGTGTCTGAAAATGGTCACGCTGCAAGAATCCCCAGGCATGCACCTCCAGGTGGGGGAGACGTCAGGTGCCATCCTGGCACCCGGGCACCTGGTAGCCGGGTGCAAAGTGTGCTGGGCGAATTTAGAACACTGGCCCTGACCATTATGCATGCTGGCTGGAGCTGATGAGCATTGGAGTCCAGCAGTGTACAGTGGGACCTCGGGTTAACAACTTAATTTGTTCTGGAGGGCCATTCTTAACCTGAAACTGTTCTTAACCTGAAGCACCACTTTAGCTAATGGGGCTTCCTGCTGCCGCTGCACGATTTCTGTTCTCATCCTGAAGCAAAGTTCTTAACCCGAGTTTCTGGGTTAGCAGAGTCTGTAGCCTGAAGCGTCTGTAACCCGAGGTACCATGAATATATAATATTCATTAAGTGCCCTAAGGTCCCAATTTAAACACAATGTTAAAAACAGTTAAAAACAACTTGTGATTGCAAAAATAAGGTGGCTCTTAAAAGTGGACACCACGAGTGTCAAAAGCTCAGGGTTAAGAGGTGTGAATATATACACATACACTGTTTAGCCCTTCTTAAAATAAGTTTTAAAAATAGTTTGGGTAAATTAAGTGGATTATTGTTACTGATGCTAAAAGGTGCCCCCTTGTGATAGATTGGTTGCCAGATTTTAAAGAAAAGTTAAGAGAGAGTGTGTGCGACAGACACAGGTGTTCTCTCTGAGTCTCAGGGAGAGGAGGAAGAATACCTCTTCTAAAACAATGCCTGCTGTGGCAAAAAGGGATTCATTATTTGTGACTCCTTTATTGCTGGGAGTTGGACTAGATGACCCTTGGGATCCCTCCCAACTGTACAATTCTGTGCGCCCTAATGAAAATAGTTTGTTAATTTCAAGAAAGAAGGGTCTGTGACGCCCAAGCCTGCTGGTTGAGGACATGAGCCCAGGCAGGAGGTATGTCTGGCTTGCATTGCAGCAGATGGATGTCCCAAGCATTCCTTTGGCCCCTGTTTGCATCAGCTGGGCCTTTGTGCTCTGTGGTGCTTCCGACAGCTGTAGTTCAAAGGAGCCCTTGTGCTGAAGTCATGTGGAAACAGATGGTGGAGAGGTGTGTTGGGTAAGGGGAGCGGAATTCCCATCTCGGGCAGCTGTGCTTGGCGGAATTTGAAGTCTTGTTTTGCCTGGAGCAATACCTGGCACTATATTATTGCTGCTACTACTGTTGTTGTTGTTGTATTTATTTATATCCCGCTTTCCACCCAGATCAGGACTCAAGGCGACTGACACAGAATAAAACAACATGGAGATGATGATGATGATAATAATAATAATAATAATTAATTCTGCACCACCCTTCATTTGAGGATCACAGGGTGCTTTACAATGTAAAAACACAAAAATATATAACGTCGTAACAAACAAAAACAATACCATCCCATCCTGCACACACAGTTTAAAAGGCCATAGATTGTTTAATTAGCCAAAGGCTTAGGAGAAAAGGAATGTTTTTTGCCTGGCGGCTAAAGAAACGTAGCAAAGATGCCTTGGGGAATACCTTGGCCGTGGACACACTTTGGGTGGGAGCAACTAGATGGCAGCTTTTTAGAAAATGTATTATACTTTAAACACAAGATTATGAACTGACCTGGACCCTGCAATTATAATCTGAGGCTCCTCTTCATGAGAGGTCAAAACAGAAAGCTAGAAGCATATAAAAGATAAAACTAATTGATCTCTAATAAAATTTTAAAAATATATAAAGAAAACAAATCTATTAAAATACAATTAAAACAGCACAGCCCTATTAAAGGCCCTTTACTTAAAAACCAGTCAATTCCCAAAAAACCAGCTTCTCTAGGAAGGGAGTTCCAGAGTCTGGGAGCAGCCACCGAGAAGGCCCTTTTCCACATCAACACCAAGTGTGCACATGGTGGTGGCACTGAAGATCACACAGCCCAAGCAGGTTCATATGGGAGAATATGGTCATCCTGATAGACTGGGCCTAAACTCTGTTGGGCTTTGTAAGTCATTAGCAGCACTTTGAGTTTATAGAGAGGAAAGCTGTGCTGATGCAATAACTAACTGGCATTTGGGTCACCCATAATTTTTATTTTTATTTTGCACGGCTTGGCTCTGCATATGCACAGACCCAAATACAAAACACATGCCCCCTACTTAAACGGGGGGGGGTATTTTTCATCCCAGGTCAGGTCTTTGATGGTTAGAAAAAAGTCCCCGGGTTCAATCCTTGGTGTCTTCAGGTAGGGGTGGTGAAATCCTTGGGAGTTGCTGCCAGTCAGTGCAGACAGTACAGAGCTTGTCTGACTCAATGTAATACAATGTAATGTGCTCCTGTCTGAGATGGCTTGTTCACATGAGTCAAGTCACCCACTTCTGTAGCTGCTGTGAAATAAAAGACCTTTATCATTATTTTATATACACACACAAGCTAGGCTTCTAAGCGCACTTTTCAAGCACTGAGGCACCATGGCCCAAAGTTTAATAAAAGAAATCCCATTAAAACATGAAAATATAAATGCACCTAATTAAAAGGAACACTAAAACAGTCTCATCGAAAATATGAACACTCACAGCTAAGATATGCAATTTAAAAATTCCATTATATATATAACAATCCAAGGTAAAATTATGCAGTATAAAAGTCATTTTGAAACAACACAGCAATTAAAACAGGTTGAGTGAGCAAGGGAATGTCTGTGTGAACAAGTCTGTCTTCAAAAGCCTGTTCTTAGACTTTTGCTTATCTTTTTTTTAAAACAACAACAACAAAGCAAATGAATCTCCTTCTGTCCAAAAGGGTTAAGCCCCAACAGCTGCTCATTTTGATGGCAAGTGTTTCATTCCAGTGCATAGACAGGCAATCCTTTTCTATTGAAGTTCTGCTTTTCACTTGTGGCTCTGCCCATTTAATGTTTACAGCTGCCCCGTTAAGCTCTCTGGCTTGGGGCAGCGAATTCTTCCCTTCCCAGAAAAATATGATGGGGAAATCCCAGCCATGGGCCCAGGCCTCCCTGGATTGGACATCTCCAGCTTTTCCATTTTCAGGGTCTCCATCTTATTTTTCCTTTTTGGCGGGAAAGGGGAAAATTTGGTCTGTTGCCTGGTAAAGAGAGGTGGGAGGATCTTGTGGTTGCAGTACTGTCCCGAATTGCTTCCAGGTCAACCTGCAAGCGTTTCTGGGGGTATGCCAAGCAACTGCAAGGTGCTTGCTTCGGTAACCCTAGAAGTTGAGGTCTTCTAACTGCTTGCTGATGCTCAAAGGGATGCCCTGTGTTTGCTGTGTACCATGGTGGAGGTTGAAGCAAATTGAGGTTGCCTAGCAACCACAGGACATGACCTTTGAAAGCCTGCAGGAAGTGATTAGAAGGCAGTGTCTTGTGGTTGCTAGACAACCACTATTATTATTATTATTAATAATAATAATTATTATTAATAATTATTATAATTATAATTATTATAATAATATTATTATAATAATATTATTATAATAATAATTATAATAATTATAATTATAATAATTATATTATTATTATTATTATTATAATATTATTATAATAATTATAATTATAATAATAATAATAAAATATTTAATCTCATTTTCTTCCCCCACCAGGTGGGCCTAAAGCAATTCCCGCTGTTAAAAAAGCAAAACATCAACAGCATACCTTTGAGCAGGAATTAAAAGTTTGTATCTTTACTAGGTCCTACTCAGAGTAGGCCCATTTGAAAATAAGGAACCCAAATCAGTCATGCCTGTTAACTTTAAGATGGGTCTACTCTGAGGAGGACTAGCTTTTGGATAATGGCCATGAGTAACTTTAGGTCCGTTTGAGGAGAATGTAGTTGGGTGTGGCCAAATTTGCATATAAACAAGCATATAAAAAGAGTATATCAAACCAGGTATTATTATATGATTCTCTAAGCCAAGGGTGGGGAATCTCAGGCAAATGAGACTAATGTGGCCCTCGAGGCTGCTCTTGTCTGGCCCTCGGAAATCTCTCCACAACCCTCCCTGGCCCTGCTTCATAACTTCCTTGCTGTGTTTTTGCCTGACTGGAATGTGTCACATTGGGCCTCCTCCTCCCAGGGCCCAATGTGATGTATGCTTTTTTTTTTTTTTTTTAATGCTGTTCCCCACAGGAAGAAACCCACCCACATGACCGTGAATTGCTGGTTCTGCAACCAGGACACCGTGGTTCCGTACGGGAACCGGAACTGTTGGGATTGCCCCAACTGCGAGCAGTACAATGGCTTCCAAGAGGTATGTTTCAAGGGTGGCACCTCATAAAGCCTCTATGACGAGATGAAATGGCGGTCAAGGGCAAGTGCTTCTCCCAAAGCAAGCTGGGTTGCCTCCAACAGGCCACATTCACATCATGTGTTCAAAGCGCTATGATACCACTTTAAACCGTCATGGCTCCCCCCCCCCCCCAAATTTTTTTAATATAGTTTGTTAAATGTGCTGAGAGCTGTTAGGAGGTCTCCTGTTCCCCTCATGGAGCTACAATTCCCAGCATTCTGGGAATTATAACTGTGAGGAAAATAGGGTCTCTTAAGCATCCTTGACCCTTATCAGTTCCCAGGATTTTTTGCCTAGGTGGGCCATGACTGGTAAAGTGCAGTAATAGTCCTTTAAATATATGGTGTGAATGTGGCCTAAGTTTTGCTCCAGAGTAGACCCATGGAAATTAACGGCCCTAAGTTAGTCATGGTCATTGCTTTCAGTGGGTCTGCTCTTGAGCAGGGCTAGCCTTGGGTACAAACCCAGTGCCAACCCATGTGCATAGATGTCTGTTCGATATTGGTGTGTATTAATTTATGAATCCCCTTTTACATCCATCTATCTATCTATCTATCATCTATCTATCTTAATTTCATTACATTTATATCCCACCTTTTTTCTCCCGAGAGGAGCTCAAGGTAGTGCACACACACTTCTCCCTGCCTCCGTTTCATCCTCACAGCATCCCTGTGAGGTAGGCAAGGCTGACGGGTAGCGACTGGCACTGAAGATACGCAATACAGTTTGAACACCTTAAGGCAAGAGACCTTTTCGCCCAGCTGGAAAAGCTTGTCAAAGCAAAAATGTAATTGGGTTGTTTCTGGGAAGTACAGATTGTGGGTGCCTGCTGTATCTCAGCAGGGCTGCTGTTCCACAGAACAGGGGCAACCACAGCAAAGGCCCTGCTTCCAAGTTGTTATGGTGTGGGCTTCTGGTTTTTTGGGTGTATGTCCCTGTTGGTAGAATTTACTGGCAGAGGTCGAGGGTGGGAGCTTAAATGCAAAAGTTGGTGTAACGAGTGAACCACCTTTGGGATTGAATGGAGCTAATAGTTTTGGGTGTGGAATGTTAAGGTAAGTGGGGTAGATTTGGGGTGAGCATTGAATGAGAATTGGATGGCAGTGGGCTTAGTAGGTAACTTAACAGCTTCAGACCAGTTTACCTGTGAGTTCACCTACCCCCAACCGTATATGCTTGCTCCGTCTCTTCATTCTGCAGAATGTTACAAGGCGCCACATAATGCTCATTCTGCATTTATAAGGAATCTGTCCTTTTGCTTGGCAACACCCACACTTTGGAACTCCCTGCCTATTGAAACCAGGGAGGCGCCTTCACTGCACTCTTTTAGGCGCCTGCTAAAATTGTTTTTGTTTAGGCCAGCCTACCCAGACATAATTTTACCTTCCTAAAATCTGGATTTTAGGTTATCGTTGATTTTAACTATTATTCTTTATTGAATTTATATACCTCCTTATACCTAGGGGTCTCAGGGTGGTTTACAGAACGAAATCAAGATCTAAAACCACAAAATACATAATAAAAATAAAAACAACAACCCAATAGCCCCTCCCCACAAAAAAACACAACACATTTTAAAAGGGTGTAAATCAGATCAACCAAAGGCCTGGTTAAAAAGGAATGTTTTTGCCTGGTGCCTAAAGGTGTATAATGAAGGCGCCAGGCGAACTTGCCTGGGGAGAGCATTCCACAGACGGGGGGCCACTGCAGAGAAGGCCCATTCTCTTGTTGCCACACTCCGGACCTCTCGAGGAGGAGGCACAAGATAATTACTTTTGAAGATTATAAATAGTTGCTTTTGATGGATCATTTCCTTGTGTTACTCATTTTGTAAACCACTTTGAATCTTTCTGGTTGTTTTTTTTTCCAATCGAGAGGTATAATACAATAATATAAAATCCATCTGTACTTCATACTTTACTGTGAATTGGTTCCTCAAATAAACTCTGGTACAATTTTTATCCATCTTCCATACAAGAGAAGCGGACTGTTGTCCTCTCACTCAGTTCTGCCAATCTCGCCAGTTTCCCCGTAGGTCCTCCAGTTGGCGAGACTCATGAAACCAAATGCCCCTTTTAATCTTATGAATTGACTGAAAGATCCCTACTGAATCATCAGATCAGAAGCCTCATCTAGTCCAGCATCCTCAAAGTGGCCAACCAGGTGCCTATGGAAAGCCCACAAGCAGGGCATTAGTTCAGTGATGCACTCCCCACTTGAGAACCACAGCAACTGGTTTTCAGAAGTTTACCGCCTCTAGCCCTGGAGGGTAGTACACAGCTGTCATGGCAAGCAACCACCAATAACCCTAGCAGTGAGAGTTGCTAGGACTTTAATTGAGGTTTGTTTTGTGGCATACCACTTGTGGGTTTTCCAAACCACGAGCCTGGGTTTGGCCGTGATACTAAGCCCAACTGTTTCTTGGCTCACACCAGCAAGAGGAGCAAAAAAGAAGGGCGGGTTATAAACTTAAAACAATAATTTGAAATGATAATAAATAACTTTCCAAGGTTGCTTTTGTTGACCCTTAAAAATTAAAAGTATCTCAGGGTGCAAATAAATCTATGGATTTTGCCTCCATTTGGCAGCCATTTGTTACTTATGTGGCTGGCCAATCACGGGAATGACAAGTCCCAATGAAATACAGCTTTGTTTTGTATTCATAATATATTGTATTCTTTTTTTTTTACCACCCCCCCCCCCAATTATTTTTATTGATTTTCCAATTTTTAACCCAATTATACAGATTTCTGGGTCTCCTTAAGAGCTTGGTGCCCATGGGAAGGTCCCTAACCATAGGACCAGGGGAAACTCTGGCCCTCCAGATGTTTTTGGAGCTGGAGTTCCATTTGACAACAAGAAACTGTATCTTCATCTCAGTATTGTGGAATGCTCTGCCAGCAGAGATTCAGCAGGTGCCTTCTGTCACAACTTTTAAATGCCTGCCGAAAACTTATATTCTATTAGGCTTATGCAGGCAGTTAAGAATCCATCTTTTCATTGTAGGTAGCTGATTTCTGATTTTAAGTCTTTAATGTGTTTTTTATTGTATGGTGGCCCACAAAAGGGCCTTCTCTGTGGCAGCCCCTAAACTGTGGAGCTCCCTCCCCGCAAAGGTGCATCTGTCACCTTCATTATACAGCTTTTGACATTTGAGGTGTAAATTTTTAGGACCCACCTTATTTCTGGAACCACAGGCTGCAGATAATAAAAATTAAAACAGTGTACAATTGTTGTGAACTCCAATTTTTAAAAAAATGAATAGCAGTGTATAGATATTTTTATGAAAAAATAAAATAAAAATGTTGTAGAGCAGCAGGAAGGAGAATGGAAGAACCAATGCCTCCCCTTTTGATCCCTCTTGGCAGAATGGAGATTACAACAAGCCGATCCCAGCTCAGTACATGGAGCATCTGAACCACGTTGTCTCTGGGGCCGGCGCCTTCTACGACCCCACCAAGCCCCAGCAGTGGGTGAGCAGCCAGGTCCTTCTCTGTAGGAAGTGCAACAACCATCAGACCATGAAGATTAAGCAGCTGGCGTCCTTCACTCCCCGGGAGGAGGTATGAACTGATCTCGGGACTCAGAGCAGCCCTTCATTTTAAGGTTCTGGAACTTAACCTTCCCTAAACCCACAGAAGGGGAAGCTCGACCCAGGAGACAAATGCGACCCTCTGGATCTTAGGAAACGAGCCTTTTATGGTTGTTTACATCGTTCTATTTCATGTACACACCATACTTTTAAATGTATACACTTAACGTCCCCACCAAAAATTGTGGGAGCTGTGGTTTGTGTGTGATTACTTTCATGGAAAACTTATAATTCAGCGACCAATTAAAGAGGAAACAATACAATTGCATTAAAATTACACAAAAAAGGATGCAGCTTTACATTGCTGCATTAACACTCCCTCGGAAAAATAATATTATTGATATTGGGGTGGAGGTAGAAAGATGAGCTTTCCTTGCTTTTCTTTTTTCCTAAAGATTTGCTTTGTTAATAACTATCAAGATGTTCTTCATCAATGTCTTATGGTTGAAAAGTTTTTAAGAACTCCACAAAGAGTAGCCCATTTCACAGGAGGCTTTTGAATATTGTTATCATTTTATCTAAAATGAATTTTAATTTATGAATCTAAACTCTGACTGCATACATCTGCACCATACATTTTGAGCTTCCCCTACCAATAAAAAATAAAAAAATCTTAGGGGAATGTGTTCTTCCTGTCAGAGCTGCAATTCTCCCCACACTTGAACTACAGTTCCCAGGACTCTTGGGGAGGGAGAAAGCCATGTTCTTTAAATGCATGATGTGTATACAGCCACAGTCTGAATTTGCAATGCCCTGCAAGTGTCTTCTGCTGCTGCCTTGTCGTCCTACCCCTTTGTCTCTATTACCTCCCCCCCCCCCTGCTTTCATGTGTTACTGCCTTCCCCACTCCAGGTGGTGACATCTTTGAAAATGCCTGCCCCACTTATTTCAGGTGTCATGGCAACCAGGATAGCAATTGCAAGACACAGGCCGGCTTTCCCCATCCATGACTTAACACAAGAAGCTTTTTGTCTGGTTGGAGGGTGCCTTGAGGGAAAGTGAGCTTGCATGGCTAAGCACATGGGGAAACCTTTTCCCCCTTAGTTGAGTTTCTGGGGGACGTATGATTGAGAGGGAACTGAATCTAATGCTGGTAGTTCTTAGGCCACGTTCACACAACACATTTTAAAGCACTATGATGATAATAATAATATATAATTTATTATTTATACCCCGCCCATCTGGCTGGGTTTCCCCAGCCACTCTGGGCGGCTTCCAACCGAATAATAAAAACAATACAGCATCAGACATTAAAAACCTCCCTAAACAGGGCCATCTTCAGTTGTATTTTAAAAGTAAAATAGTTGTTTATTTCCTTGACATCTGCTGGGAGGGCGTTCCACAGGGTAGGCGCCACTACCTCTTTAAACAGCTGTAGCTTCCCCAAAGAATCTATTTGTTAAGGGAGTTGAGAGTTGTTAGGAGACCCCCGTTCCCCTCACAGAGCAAAAATTCCCAGAGTTCCTCGGGGAAGAGGGTTTTATGGTTAAGCCATTCTGGGAATTGTCCCTCTGGGAGGGTAATAGGAGCCTCTTAACAGCGCTTAGAACTCTTTAACAAGCAACCGCTCCCATAATTCTTTGGGATAAACCATGGCTGTTCCAAGTGGTATCATAGTGCTTTAAATGTGTGGTCTGAATGGGGTCATGCTTGTAACTTGGTAGAATGTTGCTCCCTGTGTTGTATACAATAAGACCCAGCAGAAAAATATTGATCCGTCAGTGAAATTTAAAATGGCCCAGGACAGTGGTTCACAAACTTTTTCTCTGGGCCACACTTTCAGAATAAAAATTTGCTCGTACCACCCTGAATTTTTTATTGATAAGAAATACATTGGAAAACAAAAAGAAACAACTCCTAGCCCTGATTGATTTGTAACATGGAACACAACTACTTCATAACATGACCATGGGACATCCAGAAAATATAAATCAATGCAGCTACATAAGAATATAGATTATTCCCAGAATATAATTATAAACGAGCCTCTTACGTATGTATCATAATAATGTATACATGAAATTCATACTTATTTAGTCATGTTCTGGATCACAACTAGGAATGTCCTCAAGTTTCACTTGATACTCTTGCTTTCTCCTTGAAAAGATAGCTGTCCCTTTTCTGCAAGAAAATAATATTTTTATACTATACCATACTTCACTACACTGAAATATTCAAATGTTTCCTTGAGTGTCTTTGAATCTCTCTGCCACACCAGTGTGGTGTGCCACACCTTTTGAGAACCACTGGCCTAGGAGTTTAAAAAGCCTGAGAGGTGAGGATCAAGGCTTTATTTTCCAGTCGGAACTCACCAGAACTCAGTTCCAGCACCCCCCAGGTGGGCGCCATTGCCATTATAAGAGAACAAGGGAGGCGTTCATGGTGAGTTCTGGCACCTTGTTCTAGAAAAATAGCACTGGTGAGGATGTTTTCTGCCTGGTACCGATGTTCCTCTCTTCTGCTTTGTCTCTAACAATGAAGTAGCAGAGATACTCATGAAATGGGAGCATGTGTCTGGTGCTCTTTTTCTGGTGTGGATTGAAGCCGGAAGTGTCTCGGCATGCAGAACTCCTCTCCCGGCTAAGCTTCTGCTCCTTCTTCCGGGCAGGGCAAGTACGACGAGGAGATTGAGGTGTACAAGCATCACCTGGAGCAGACCTACAAGCTCTGCCGCCCTTGCCAGGCCGCAGTGGAGTACTACATCAAGCACCAGAACCGGCAGCTCCGCGCCCTGCTGCTTCGGCACCACTTCAGCCACCGGAAGACAGACAAGACCTACATGCAGGTGAGGGAGAAGGAACAGGAAGGAACGGCTGTTGATTGGGGGTGGGTGGGGCATAGCACTTGGGCAGGAAGTGACAGCTGTTCATTGGGCAGGGCATCATGTTTGGATGGGCTGTGGGAGCAACAAGTGCTGAACCCAGAAGAGGATGGACACACAGTGATGGTGGAATCTGAATCATGCATTTATTTTTAAATTGCCATATATTTTCTCTTAAGTAGGGCTTTCCGATCCAGCAGGCTTTTCTCATTCTCTGTTTCTTTACACCAGGCCTTCTCTCTTCTCCCCGTTTTTCTGCCACTGAATTTTCTCTTGCTCTTATTTTGCCACCCATGTGAAAATTGGACCTAGGGCTGCATGAAATTAGGTGTGAGGCTGCAAGTTGCCATCCATTACGCTACATCACAGTTTAGTACCATATGTGACCTGTTTCCTATGCTATGCCACAGTTTAGTGTTACATGGGACCTGGGTCATATGCTACATAAGCCCTTCATGGCCTAGGACCCTCGTACCTACGGAACCTCCTCTCCCAGTATGCCCCGCGGAGGACCTTATCCGTAAATAGCAACACCCTAGAGGTCCTGGGCCCTAAGGAAGTCAGATTAGCCTCAACCAGAGCCAGCACCTTTTCAACACTGGCTCTGGCCTGGTGGAACGCTCTGTCTCATGAGACCAGGGCCCTGCAGGATCTGATTTCTTTCTGCAGGGCCTGTAAGACAGAGTTGTTCCGCCTGGCCTTTGGCTTGGAATCAACTTGATCCCCTCCCCCTCTTTCCTTTTTCCTTTCTCCTTCTGTGATGGAACTCCTGTTTGGGGACTTCCCTGGCTTTTTTTGGCCCACATAGGACCAGTCTGGATAGTTGGCCTTGGTGAAGATTTGACGTTTTCATCCCCAAAAAGTTTTTGATTTGAGTTTCTACTGAAATGAGGCTGCATTTTAATGTTGTACCTTAATCTTGTTTTTAAGTTGTATTTTGATCATTTGTTTTTATACTTGGTGTTAGCCACCCTGAGCCTGGTCTTGGCTGGGGAGGGCGGGTTATAAATAAAATGTATTATTATTTATTATTATTACATCACAGTTTAGCGTTACATACAATTGGGCCACATAACCTTTCCAGTGGTTTAGAAGCCTACCTAGAACGCAAGCATTTCTTGCCTGTTGGCTCAGAAGTTGCCAAGAGAGCCAGCTTGATCCCGCACAGTTGTGTTCCCTTCCATGTAGGTATACAGACGACTCACACAGCCTGCGCTGTAATCTTGTGATTCTGAAGGTTCTTCTCTTCCCCTGCAGAGTTTTTATGCTGCGGCTTCGTCCACCACCACAGCCACAACCACAACCACACCAGCCCAAGTGATTGCTCTCCGGTTCCTGGCCTTCCTCAGCTGCGTTGTTCTCGTCACGATGGCCTTGTACGGGTCGGGCAACCCGTTCTCCCCTGAGCATGCAACTCCTCCTGCTCCCGCAAGCCCTGGGCCAGCGAGGAACGACACTGGCTCATCGCCACCAGCAGTGCCACCGGGCAATGGCACTCTCCTGGAAGTCCTCAGCTGGCAGGAAGTGATCCGGCTGTTGCCAGAGCAAGTCGTGGAGACTCTGAGAGTGGCTTGGTCTTACGGGAAGAATCACCAGATTGCGGTTGTCGTCCTTGGTCTTCTGACGTGCTCCTTAGCCATGCTGCTGGCGGGACGAATTAGGTATGGGGGATTTTGGGATGGGTTTTAAATCATTTATTCATGGCATTTATGTACTACTTAATTATAAATTATACATTTTATGAAATAAGATTCCCAGACACGTAGAATGTTGATGTGTGTTTTAATCTTTTTTTAAAGTTTATTGCCGGTTTTTATCTTTTTAATATTTTCAAATTGTTGTCTTTACTGTTAATTTTACTGCTTTATTCTCTTCGTAAACCGCTTTGATGGTTTTGTAAGCGGTGTTTTTAAACTTTATGAAATAAATAAATTATTAACGTTTCTAAGCATTGTATGTAGAAGCCATACAGAGAAGAAAGCAGCAATAACAAAATCACCGTAAAACCATAAAAGGCTCACCTTTTAAAATCCCTGCTGGAGTCAGACAGTCACATACCTGAAGTTCCTTGTTAACAAAACCTGTTTCCATTTTAAAAAGTTTTTCTTCTCTGCATTGCAGCTTGTGCAGTCCTTTTTTACTAGATTTTCTACCTGGCTGTGTGTCTTTGCAGCTGCAGTCAAAACTGACTTTTGCAAAGTTAGTTGGCATGTTAATTACGTTCAAAAGAGAAAACCCATCTGTAAATCAAACCCTGGGGATTTAGAAAGCGAAAGAATGGGGGCTGCTGGTTAAAGGAACCCTTCACCCATCCTTTCCCCGCCGTGGGAATTGGGAGACCAGCAATATCTAGGGGGCACAGGTTCCCCACCCCACTTCTAATAGGATGGTGGAGTCTTAGGATTGTGGCCAACACTATACCTACTCAGAGTGGACCCGTTGAAATGCATGGGCCGTAGCCACAGCCATTGATTTTAGTGGGTCTTTGAGTAGGACTAGTGTTGGATACAACCCAGCACCTCCCTGTGAGTGTTTCTGTTCAATATATGTGTGTATTATAGGATGTATTAATTTACGTGTTGCCTTTCACATATGTTTCAAGTTGACTTAAACCAAAAACAGCTAAAGGAACAGCTAAAAAAAACAGCTTGAGTACGAAACTCAGATCTATAAGCTAGGCGCCAAATAGCTCCTTAAACCATGGTTACATGGCCAAAACGGAATGTCTAGTTTCCATTTTGGGGCAGGACGGCTCTGAAGTCTTATTTTTCAAACAATGAACTGAATGTGATTGTTTCTCAGTTAAACATCTGGCTAGTTCAGATGGCAACCTTGAGCTAGATTAGGAGCTTTGAGAACTTAAATAAAAGTGACTTGATCCAGGGACAGCGTACATATATTTTGGCCTGTTCCAACCTCATTTTCTTAATGGTGACTGCTCCTGCTCAGGCTGCACAGAAAATGCATTTTGGTTCCAGAAATTCATTCTGATTGTACAGATAAAATATAACTGGTAGAATTCTACAGGATGGGGCATTAATGTGTGAAAACAGTCCAGTTCCAATGATCCCCAGACATGCACCTCCAGATAGTGGAGATTTTAGGCGCCATCCTGGCACCCAGTCATCTTCAAGTGATTGGAAGTCAGGTGCAAAATGTGCTTGGCTCTTGGCTAATTTTGAACACTGCATGCAGCTGGAAAGGCTTGTTGAAACAGAAGTGTTATTGTTTCTGGGAAGTACAAATAAGGGGGTGCCTGCTGTATCTCTAAAGAGGTGCTGTTCCACAGATTGGGGCAGCCACCCAGAAGGCCCTGCTCCGAGTTGCTCTAATCTCTTCCCCCTGAATGATCAGGGGGAATGAGTTGCTGAATGATCTCTTCCCCCTTCTTTCCATCATTGGTTATTACTGCACGGTGTAGCCAACAGAGGCTGGTTTCTAACTCTCCCCCCCATGTTTCAGGCTTCGCCGGATCGACGCCTTTGCCTCTGTCCTGTGGCTCCTGGTGATGGGCTTCCACTTGGTGGAGCGCTACCTGCAGGCAGACACCCCCAGCTGGCTCGACACAGCCAAGTTCGGCACCACCTCGCTGTGCTGCCTGGTGGGCTTTGCGGCTGCTGTGGCCACCCGGAAACCAACGGGCCAGCGGAGACCCCGGCCCCGAAGGTCAGAGCCAGAACAGTGACTGTCGGGGGTGGGACAAATACCCTGAAAAATCCAAGCCTTCAAATTCACTGCCACTGGCGCTTCTCTTTTCTCTCCCTTCCTCTCTCTTCCTCCCTGCCCCCTTTTAATTTTGTTTTAGGTTGCTTCCCTCCCCCACACACTTTCTTCCCTCCTTTCTTATTATACCTTTAAGAAACTGTGAAGCATCTTCCTTCTCCTAGCTGGCTGTAGCACAATTGCAGACCTCTCCCAGTTGCTCCAGTACTCCTTCATCCTCCTCCATCTAAACCCCAGACGCTTCCAAAACAAATCACACTCCGTGAATTGCCCCGCTCTGTGTGAATTGCCCCATAACACGTCGTCCATCTTGGTTTTTGTTTTCGTTTGGAGGTGGGAAGGCTCTCTTTCCCCCCCTTTTTTGTGGTGTGTGTACCACCAGTTATTCACAGTGAGAATCCCTGTGTGTTATCTCAACTTGCCGTCAGTGCTGCAGACTCTAAACCAGTTTGAAATGGGTTTCGCTGTCGCGTCTTCCCTCAGTACTCCCAAGAATTTTGTGTGCACATGCATTTTCTTTTTAAAGATTTTGCGAGTGTTGAGAATCAGTAGTTGGCGACCTTTTAGAACTGAACTGTATTTCCCAGGATTCCTTCTTTAGTTGGGAGCTGTGATGGTTCCAACTTGATTGAAACTAGTTTAAATGTGTAGGTGTGCTTTAAGGGGTTAGGTCTGCTTGCGTTGTGTGTGTGTGTGTGTGTGTTTTGGAGGTTCTAATTTTTATACTGACGTACATTTTTATAACAATACTACATAAATAGTGGAGTGGACTTGAAGTGGCTCTAAGCTGGACTCCCCCTGCCTTCCTTATTCTCAGTTCTTTATCCTCTGTTAACAGCATGTTGCTGCTTGTGTCTTTTTAATTTCAGAAATAATGGGGCGTGTGTGACTTAATTAGCATCAGCAAAAAACACCCTCTTTCAGTTCAAGTTGTGTTGTGCTAACCTTTGTTTAATGTATGGCTACTTTAGCCTCCCCCCCCAGTCTTCTCCCCCCCCCCAAAAAAAAATCCCCGCCCTTAAGCCTTAGTTCCAGCCATCCTGGGATCCAAAGTGGATCAGGATGCTTGTCGTTCTGTCAAAGATAGTGACATCAGCCACACTCTGATGCTGATTTTTAAAAGGGGAAAGGGCGCAGTGATGTTGGCAGCTTCCTGTACGCTGAGCTAGCCGAAATGAGCCAAGAACCCTTCCTTTCTCCTTCTCAGTCCCGTCTATAATGTCTGCCAAGAATTCAGTGCTCAAACAACAGGGGGCCTGGCCGAGTCTCTTCCATTCACTGGAAGCCCTATCAGTCTCAGCTCTCCCCCTGCGTCTCTTTATTGAACATAATCTTTGCCTTATTTGCTGGTATGGAGTTGTACGTCATTTTTTTTAAATTTATTTTTTTTAATTTCATAACATTTATACACTGCTTGATTGTAAAAAAAATAAAAAGGCTCAAAACAGTTTACAAAAAGGTAAAAAGAGTTAAAACTATTTAAAACCTCCTACGAAATAATCAGTGATAAGCTAAAAACAGATTAAACACCTGTCAGCAATCTACATGTCTAGGTAGGCTTTTCTAAACAGAAACGTGTTTAACAAGTGCTGAAAAGACTGCAGCGAAGGCATCTGTTTGGTGTCAGTAGGCAAGGAGTTCCAAAGTGGGTGCTGCTACACTAAAAGATGAGTTTCTTGCAAATACAGAACAGGTATTATGTGGCACCTGGATCAGTGCCGGTTCTGCACTGGCATTTTTAAACATAACCTTGCTTTTAAAAAAACTATACTTTGCAGCACACATCAAACACAAACCCCAAGGGGTAGAGTCCCTGTGGCACCCACCCAATCCAAGGGCTCAATCAGCCCTCTGCTTCTTTCCATCATTGGTTATTACTGCACAGTGTAGCTTTAGCAAAGCTACATCATTGAGCACTCCTGTGACCCTCTGAATTGTCTCTTGGCAGCTTTTCCTGCTAAAGTAGTGCTGCTCCTAATCCTGTAAGACAACGAAGAAGGATCACTGTTTATTATCATTGTTATTTGATTTCTTCACTGTAAGGTCCCATGTGGGGTTAAAACAGTTTTTTTAAAAAAGAGATTGAAATTGGTTGAAATAATTTACAGTTGGAAAGATAGTGTGGACCTTAAATATATATTTGTTGCGGCAACTTACAGAACAGAAGTTTTTAATTCTTACAGCAGACTTCCTCATTCCCATCAGTTGCTCTGATAAGTGATGCTATTCCCAAAGGTAGTGGCTACAGAGCTTTGAGGATAGAATGCTCAGAAGGCCTTCATTTGCTATTAGAATGTAAGGTTTCTGGTTTGTTCTGTCACTATAATAGATGCGTAGTTTCAGTGACTAGCTGCATCCCACCAGGACAAACTTGTCTGAAGTGCCATTTGATGCTTCAATTGCTATATTTCCTCTAAATAGTGTCTGATGTCAGAGGCCAGGGTGAAGAGTTGCATCGTCGGCCTATGCTGAAAGCTAGGAAGGTGCCCATTGCAACTCTGTACGAAGTTGCTGCAGTGCTTGTTGCGAAAACCTTCCAGGGGTTCCTATTTTTAATTGTGGACTGGCTCTTGCCTTTTCCCACGCCCTCGATAGACTGATGACCTTTAATGTCGTATTCCTGATTGTTTATTACCAGATTGGTTCACAGCTTGGGTGGGAAGGCTCTGCACACCTTTTATAGTCTTTCTATTTATAATATTTTAGCTTTCTCCCTTGAAGGAACACTCACACAGCTTTCCCCTTTTTATCTGCCACAGAACTCAGCTGTGTTGTTTTCCTGCCACAAGAACACGCTTAAGGCAGAGATTTCCAGACTTGTTCCAAATCTGAAATTTGTCTTCTGAGCAATCTCATTTGTCTGTGGCTGGCTGCAGGGGATTATAGAAAATATTCTGCGATATATGCACACCATTCATTGAGGCAGGAGACGGTTAGGGCTTCTTCACGCCAGCTGTGCTGTGATTGCATGAGGCCTAACACCATTCTCCATGGCTTCATGTTGCAAGGGAAGAAGGGGTAATAGGTTGGAGTGGCCATCCTAGAGGGAAGCTTGTCTTCCACTATTGAAAAACAATAATCAAAATACTTCAGAACACTCTTAGAACCATGCACTAAAATCTAGCTTGCCCTGACAGCAGCATAGAGGTCAGCATCCTCTGCACCTAGCTTCCAAAGGCCTGTTTGAACAGGAAGGTCTTAGCCTGACAGCAGAAGGATAACAAAGAAGGAACCAGGCTAACCTCTCTTGGGAGGGAATTCCGCATTGTGGAAGCAGCCACAGAAAAGGCTCCCCCCCCCCTTCTGATGCTGATGGGTCTGAGAGAAGGCACTCACCTGAGTATCTTAGCACTGGGCAGGTTTGTATAGGGAAATAGATCTTTCAGGTAGCCTGAATAGCTCAAGCTATTATCCCTAGCATGATGAATTTTATTCTTTATTGCTGTTCACTAAACCTTTGCATGTTCCTTTTTCCCCCCCATGTGTGTGGTTGGGGTGGGGGCTGCTATTATACTTTACCCTAAGCACGTTATCCTCTATCTCTACCCTCTTTCTCTCCCTTCTTTCCAAAAGTGTGTGTGTGTGTCTCAATGGACTGATGGTGCTTCCCTTTGCTTTTTGCTTTTTAAAAACTGCTTTAACTTTGGTTGTTGTTGGGTTTTTTTTAATAGCCTGCTTTTGCAAACACGAAACATTTTTTTATTTCATTTGCCATTGCATGAAGGCTGGTGATTGAATTTAGCCTCATTAGCCAACGTGATTATTTATTCCCTAATATTATTATTTTAAAAGCGTATTTAACAGAGGCAAATAGCTTCCTTCCTTTTAAAAGCTGTTTTTTAAAGTCACAAAAATAGAAGGTAGATTAAAGGGGAATGGGGTGGGGCGGGTCATATAAACAGTTTTTCCTTCTGTGTGTACTACTTACGGTAAGGAAAAGTGTAGCCATTATTGCCTTGTTCCCCCTGAAAAAAATAATGCTTGATAAAACCTGCCTTTGAAGGAACAGTGTCTAGTTCTGAAGGGTGTATATGTGTGAATTTCAGTCTGTCTTCTGTGAAATTTGCTAGGTTCTATGATGGATGCGGGTGGTGCTATGGTCTACTAAACCACAGAGCCTAGGACTTGCCGATCAGAAGGTTGGCGGTTCGAATCCCCGCAACGTGTGCTCCCGTTGCTCGGTCCCTGCTCCTGCCAACCTAGCAGTTCAAAAGCATGTCAAAGTGCAAGTAGATAAATAGGTTCTGCTCTGGCGGGAAGGTAAACGGTGTTTCCATGTACTGCTCTGGTTCTCCAGAAGTGGCTTAGTCATGCTGGCCACATGACCCGGAAGCTGTATGCCGGCTCCCTCAGCCAGTAAAGCAAGATGAGCGCGCAATCCCATAGTCCATCTTGCTTGGTTTTGTCTACACTGACTGGCAGCAGCTCTCCAGGGTTTCAGACAGAGAACCTTCCCAGCCCTGCCTGAGAATGCCAGGGATTGAACATGGGACCTTCTGCATGCAAAGCAGATTCTCTACCACTGAGCTATGGCAAATCATGGTTTTCAGTTCTGGGCTGCCAGGACATTGCAAAGTGTCCATTCAGAGTCCTGCTAAACCATCATCAAGCTCCCTGGCCCATGACTGGCACAGTGCCCAAACAGATCCTTCAAAGAGCACCCTGCAATCCATCACTAAGATGAGAAGACCTAAGGCTGACAAGGGCATGCTAGCCACATGCTCTGTGTGGTCTTAATGTGTTCTTGCTGCTGAACATGCATTGCGGGGGGTTGGACTAGATGACCCTTGGGGATTCCTCCCAACTCTACAATTCTGTCACTTTGCCTAAAGAGAGGAGGGGATCCTTGAATTGGGTTGCCTCTCCCACTTGCTCCACTGGGCAGGTCCTTATGCAAATTAGGTGTCATCCCCTCACGTAGGACAGCAACATCACTCCAGCTC